TCGCGCAGCCGAGTGACCCCGTCGGAGTGGAATTCGCCACGCACACCGCTGAAACAGGTGAGATGGTGACGGTGTGCGTCAAGCAGTGTTAGAGTTGGCCTGGCTGTTAACTGTGAATTACAACTCTCCTGTGATGTGTTAAGGTGCGTTACGACACGAGAGGTCCTGTGGAACTAGACGCCAGCTGGCATTCCAGGAGTTCATCGGAGCCTAGTCAGAATTTTCGACTGGAGGACGCGCTGACTGTCAGCACATCTCCAATGCCGAGTTCGAATCCACATGGTTGGACGTCGACTGAAAACTCCTTTTTTCCTAGAAGCGAACCCTTAAAACGAAGGTAAAAGTTTGGAGAGGCACTTCAAGCAATCGGGATGCTGGCGACCCGTTGATATTGATTGAAGTGGGGACGTATTTTTTTCCTTTTTTAGAATATCACGGTCCAACGCGCTGTCAAACGATACTGGAGGTGTTTGCGACACAACTAGAACCATGGTAGGTAAACCCATCCTCCTGGCCAAATAACTAGTCCACGTAGATCTGCGTAATTTTGTTCCTACACACAAAAATCATCGAGTTTAACAACGGTTTCGAAATCAATAATCGATTTGCTAAAGTGTGGTGTTTGAATCCCATTCAAAGTAATATTTATAATTGAAAGGTGCTTTGCGAGACTTTGATTGGTCGTCTGAAAGCTTATCTGATTGGTGGAACTAAATCGTACCAATGGCAATTTGAAAATGGTGCAGCTTAATTTTTTTTAAATTAAACATCTAGTTTTCTGGTGAATTGAACACCAAATTAAGTGACCTGAGATGCAGATCATGTGGAATCATGTTTCAGTTTGGACTTTAGAAATGTGTCTTGGAATGTTTTGTTCTAATAGATGGAATTGGTTGATTGTCGAATTTGGCAATTTTGGACTCCATGTTGTCCAGTTTTGAAACGAGTCTTCATTTTCTGGTGTTCTAACAGAGATAATGTGATTTTCGTTTTATTTAAACACTGAAAAAACCTCCTAATCTTCTTTTATCGGTATAATTCATCGATGTATTTCGATAAAACGTATCGAAATTATCAAAATTCCTTAAAAAAATGACCAATCAGTGCTTTTTTAAATTTATACCAAGGAACACGAGTGTCTGCACAAATATGGTAGCAGATGCCCAAACCATTCGCTGGTGTCTATTTATCCGCCAAGCAATCGTTAGTATGAAATGTTTTTGTTCACCAAACTACCGTCATACTACATTTATGATTTAAGTAGCATTCATAATGAGGGCACAGTACGCGCAACACATAGAACAGGCAATTTTTAATAAGCATTACAAAATAGGCAAACACTAGCACAATGTTTAAGTGAACTCGTGTCGACGGGTTACAGTAGTCCTCACGGCAACATCTCGTTTTTACGTCACCCTCAGTTCCGCACAAAGACTGAGCATTCGTGTTGCAGCCGTAGTAAGTTGCTTCCTCGTGCAATGACTGAGTCTAGAAGGATCCAAGTAAATAGCCTGTTTGCCAAGCATCCAAACAAAACTACACACGGGGCTATACACACGACACGTTAATGACCTTCAGGTGAAAAACCAATAGGCGAGGCAGCGCACAAATAAACTCACGTAGCACTCCACGCAAATTGCTGGCGATTCCTCAATGGCAGACTTCTGTCTGAGCTGGCTGCCAGTGAAGCAGATAAGGCCATCCTTGAATTCTGGTGGCTTGGATATGTCTGAGACGTCGATCAGCAGATCGTCCATTTCATCACTTGAGGTTATCCTCTTCCTGAACTCACACTCATTCATCGCCTTAAACTTTTCGATCAGGTTAACGAGGTAGGGCCGTTTCTGTCCAAACACACTTAGAACACACGTAGAACACACAAAAATCAGCGTGAGTATCGTCAGCATGTCTGACAGCCAATTGTAGGCAACCGATCGATAGGAATTTGAAGTCAAATCAAACATGCGTTTTCCAGCCAATCAGATTACTTGGGGTTGCTGTGCTAAAAGTTTATGTTGAAATAATGTACCATGGCTATTTCAGATTGGCTGAAATTGTAGGGGTACAAAATAGACCCATTTTCGTGCCATGTCTCCCACACAAATTGCCGGTACAGCACAGGAAATGACTGTGTGATAGCCATCTTTGTAATTTTGTAATTAGGGCATCCTTCTTAGTTAGCGTAAAATGGAAGCAAACATATTTTCTCACATTTATGGAACGCATGCTCTTGAAAACACTTTATTTTGGTAGGTGACAGTACGTATTACTGGCAAAATTGCAGGTAAATCGACATTTAAATCTAAAATAAGTGAGAAAAATATTTGTTTGAAGTGCAAGTTTTGGGGTGGAAATTTCGACTTAAATCGTAAGAACGATTTACGATTTACGAGCTGCCAGTAAAATGACTGCAAAATTAGGCAGATTTTTCGAATTGAAAGAAAACTAAAATTAACACCATGACGTTGCAAGATGAAGCCCAAAATCGGTTGTGAAAAAACCATATTGTTTCCACTAGTACTCTCAACTGTCGTCAATGGCGCAAATTCGGCCACGAGGTCCAAATCGAGAATTCGGCGGTGCGTGGAGGCCTAAAACACTGCCACGGCGTGGTTCTGACGCCATAGACGGTGTAGAGACCTTCCAAATGCGCGTCAACGATGCGCCGCGTTCGCCGGCATCGTCCACAAGCGACGGCAGATCTGACACCATCAAACGACGCCTCGTAGAGGAGTACAACTTCTTCAGAAGCAGGGAGTCAGAGAGACCAACTCCAGCGGGCTACGGTAACGGCGTCGCCCCAAATTACAACGAAATGGTGAGTAGAAGTAGTCAGTGGTGGCACAACCAATTCCACCAATCAGATTCTAGGCGCGCAATACAATTGTACTTTAGACCTCGTTCAGTGCCGACCGGACAGACGGTCAATTTCAAGCTGGACGGAGCAGTCGACCTCGAGTGAAGACTGCGACAGGCAAAGTCGTCATTCCACAGCGGCCAGTTGAGTCAACACTCACGCGATCCGAGTACAACGACCGGGTGAGCAAGTCTACATGTGTGTTAGCGTCCAATTACATGCCCATGTAAGGATTTTCACAGCTAATCAACGCAGAGCAAATTGCAATGTGCGTTAACCAATCAGATGGCACGCGGTCGATTTGATGACGGGAAATATGTTGTACGTAAAGAAATCTAAGTGGAATTGCCACAATCATCTATCACCATTGATACAGAGCCATTAACAAAAACCATCATTTCCACACTTGTGTTCTGGTTATTGCTTTATTGTGCCGACGGCAGATATCCAGAAGTATTTTGGTCAGCCGTAAATATCACGCACTTGTTTGCAACGCGGAATCATGCGATCTCGCTGAAACTGACGCCAGCACCTTGGTGAAGGAGCCATATTTGTGTGAAATCATTGCCACTACCACTCTGACCTTTGCGTAGTCATGCAATTTTTAGTGCGAACACACAACACCATAGTCTCTGCTGATTGGCGGGTTTCAGTTTAGCCATTGATTTAGTTGAATGAGCTCTGGTTCAAATGAATGCACATCAAATTACGCAGATTCAGTGAGTAACACCTAATTGGGTGTGGAATTAACTGTGTAGGTTTTGGTTACCACGGGATAAAACTTTTACAACTGTAATTGCTTGTTTTAAATTCAATGCTACTAATTCATAATTAGTAGCCAGTTTATTTATCTCGATGACAAAGCGAAGGATTTTGGTTTGAATTGGCAAGTTCATTTAAAATACAATCCCAAACGAACCAGATCAAGCAATTAGCAAAAACTTGTTGTGTATTTACGAACTCTAGTATTCACTGAGAATCAAAAAATAAAGGCAGAACCTACTTTAAAGGAGAAAAATTTTTTCATATGTCAATGGTTCGAAAATTGATAATTTTTTATTCAAAAACCAATTTAAAAAAGGCAACTAATAAAAATACCAGGTGTTTCAGTTAAAGACATTTTGGGTGAAAGTCAAATCTGCCTTGCACTCATTTTTTGTCCAAAACGTCCGATTTTATCCAGTTGAAAATCGATTTAATGAGGGATTGGCTAGGAGCCAATGGGAAAGCGTCTTGTGAGATTTTGTTTAATTCGTAACTATTTTGGAAATTCTACAAAAGTGATCCTCGTGTCACATAAAAACAATACTATTTGGTGAATCATTTGGCTGTGGCGAAAACCACAAACGTGGGATGATTCACCCAAGTCATATTTACGATTCTAAAACCATTCGACGGTAGTTTGGACAAAATGCGCGCGCTTTCTTGACTGACATTATCATCGTCAGCATCACCACCACCACCACCAACCCTATCTGGCACTTGTCAGTTGACGTCGCAGTGTTAACGCTACCAGCAGTTGTTTAAAACAGCCACCTACAATAAATCGTGTTGCGACCGGAGCTATAAATAACGCGTGATGTGGCAAACGCACGCGCGATAATCGATAAGGTGTGTCTGCATGTGTGCGTTTGCCGGTGTTTTTGAGGAAAAAGAGGAAAAAATTCGCTCGT